CGATCTTCAGTTAGAGTTTCTTATAGTTTGGTGTAGTTGTTAATGTATACTAAAGGTTTTGTATGTTTATAATGCTAGCCCTTAATTGAAATTTTTATAATATTGTGAAAAATAAGAGTAATTGTAACTTCCAAATTATTTTGATCAATTTTATATTATGGTGTGTTTGAACATCTTATATTATGAGTAGGTGAATGAAAAGGAATAAAATTTATAAATAATTCTTAAAAATTACATATAATTCTCATTGTAAATTACATATATACCATATAGATATATATATTTATATACCATATATATATATATATATAGAGTTGTATTTTATCCTCTTTCAACGATCCTTTCATAAATAAAAATTATAAATAAATTAATAAATTATTTCAATTTTTTGTTGTCCTTCGGTATTATTTTTAAAATTGATTTTATTATTTTTGTTTTTTTTTTGTACATAATCTAATTAACTTACAAGTGTCCTTTTCCTGTTTTGTTATCATCTTTTGTAATATCAGGTATATTTATGGATTCGATGTCATATTAAAGTCCTTGAATATTCATTAATATTTTATGTTTATTAATATTTAATTTAGCATAATTTTAGGAACCGAATCTTATGAATGATTAAAAAAGAAAATGTTTTTATTAGTTGATAAGGTAAGAGAATTATAAAAACAACAAGAAGAAGAGAACAAAACAAAGCATAAAACAAAAATGTCACATTTTACAAATTTCAACAATTATTCTTCTTGTATAAGGCATTAGAATTTTCATATAGAAAGTATATACATATACACACATATACAATAAATTAAAAATAAAATGACCTGTAAAAAAAATATAAGAAAAATTTTTATATCCTTTTTTTTCCTTTTCAAATAAATTTCCACAAATGTAGCATGTTTCTAACATTATCGTTATGTTTGTGTGTTTTTTGAAAAGTAAGAAAATTTTCTTTATTGTTTTTCTTTTGGACATTTCGGTTTGTATTAAGGGGTTTTTTTGTTTTAAACCATAGTAGAACAGAAGTTTATGAATTTGCAAAATATATTACATAACATAAAAGGACCATAGTATATGCAACGATCCTCAAATTCAAAACTTCTTATAGGCGTTGTTAAACTTAAAGGGTGCTTATTTAGACATAAAGTTTTGTCAACTCTCCATTTCATTTCAAAAAGTCATTTCTAATTACAACATTGTCCGAAAACCTTCCATTTTGTTTGTTCATTGTATTGTATTTTTTTGTATAATATTTTAAATTTTTATAATTATTCTCTTAAAATTTCAAAAGAATGACATTTTAATGTTTAAGCACGCTGTTTTATGTTTGTGTTGTAAAAGAAATATTTGTTACGTAGAATACACAGAACATTTTTTATTAATTTAAGATTTTCTTTTTTTTTTGTTAAATGCTGTTAATTACCTTTAAGAGAGAAAGAAGAGAAGAAAAAAAAAAAGAGTTAAAATTTATTAAGACTGTATATGAGTAATTAAATGTGTTACAATGTTACCTTGTAATTAAAAGGACAAAAAAGGAAGTAAAAAGAAAAGAGGAACTGGCATGGAAATTTTGAATACCATAATCACCCTGTTTATTGTCAAGAATTTACGCGTGTAACTAAATGGATTACATAATGTAATTATTTTTTAATTTTGACAGATAATTTTACAGTATTTTGACAGATAATTTGACAATGTTTTGAAAGATAATTTGAAAATATTTCAACAGATCGTTTGACAATACTTTGGAGTGAAATTTTTTAAAATGTCAAAAATGTTCGGAAAATTTCCGCAAAAATTAACTTAACCTCAATTTGGTATATTCAGTAATTGAAATTGTATTCCTGAAAAAGCTGACGTTACATCTACATTTTGAAAACCTTCTAAATGTTTAGCTCTGATTTGTTTAGACGCTACAATTGACGAAAACCGAGTCATTTTTAGTTTTAATCAGGTTTTTTAATTTAATTTTTAAAATCTATGCCAAAGTTACAACCTGACAGACAGAATAAATTTTAAGTATAGCTTTCCTTTTTCGTCTTCAAAATTAGAATAAAAATTTTTTCTTTGTTTGTATAGAAAACATTTTCCACAGTGTATGCAAAAAATAATATTTCTCTAAAAAAATGTTTTTTTTTTTTTAATGAAAGATTTTTCAAATTAAATTTTTCTTCTCTTTGGAATGTTAATGAAAAAAAAAAGAAAAAAAATTTGAATAATTAAAATTCCTCCTATTCGCAATATAATTATTAATATTTCATTTTCTTACATTAAACACAAATCCAATTTTCTGTTATACCAGTTGTATACTGTTATACATAAAATTTATAATGTGTATATAAATGGAAAAAAATTCCTCGTATATTACACTTTTTACATCTTTTCTTAACGAAGAATATTTTTCTTTTATACCTTAAAGAAAATATTTAAATTGAAGAAAACTCAAGGGGAAAATAAAACAAATTACCATCCATACGAATATTCTATATTATGTACATATGTATGTATTATATATTATTTTTCTCCTATGTTATGAGTGTGTACGTGTTTTTATACGTGCTTATACGTAAACGTCGAAGTTTGTATATAAATTTTGTATAATTTTTTTTTTTTGCACATAAATTTACATAAAAATCTTTGAAACGATTTATTTTCCAAATTATATAATACGTAAACACATAGTTCATAATATACCGGGGTACAGGCTTTTAGGTTCAACGATTAATTTTTTTTATATTTTATAGATTTTATCGAAAATGATATTGAGTATGTGTGTATGTTATAATAAAACAAAAAAAAAACATTTAAAATTAAATTAAAATTAATTTCAAATTTTTTAATTAAATATTGTGTATGCGTATGAATAATTAAATTAATATATGACATGTATTTAATTTGTCAAAATGTCAAATTCAAAATGTCAAATTAAGTTTGTAACAAAGGTTGAATTAAGTAATATGGTGGGTAATTCACGTAATGTAAATTGTTTTATTTATTCAATTTATTCAGCAATTATAATTGTATAGCTGAATTTAATTCTGCATTATGAAAAAATATGGAAGGTATTATGTTTATATTTAATTAATTTTATAACAGTTTTAGATAGAAAATTTACATTTCAGGTGAAATAGTTCAAATGTATGCATTCCAAAATTATAAAGCGGGTCCTTTTGATATTACGAGTAAACTGCTGATTAAGAACGGTTATTATTATAATTTGTGCATGTGTTGGATCAATAAGGGCAGTCTTTTTGTATAGGGTATAATATATATATATATATTGTTTTCCCAACTATTTCGGAATATTTGAGAGAATAAATTTAATATAAATCTAAATATTGAAAATTTGACATAAAAATAAAAATGTAAGCCTTCTACTGGAATAAATGTGCGTAACTAATTTTGTAAAATATTCTTTTGTCTGACCTAGTGTAGTTGAAAGACATAGAAAGTTTTATATGTTTTGAGTATACATTTAAATGGAGCGTTATACAGTATAATACCAAATTTTTGACCTCGATACGGTATATAAAAAAGATACATATGCAAATACACACATATCGTATAAATTTAAATGAAGAAAATTCAATGATAATGAATTATGTATATCGAATTAAAGGAAATTATAACAATAGCGGAAATAATAATAAAAAGAATAAAATCTAAAATAAATATGTTATAAACCGTTATTTATGTCTGTACAAAAGAGCATTTTATTGTAGTAAAACTACTCCTATATATATATATATATATATATGTATATATTTTATTCACCATTCTGCTGAGGGAAGAAGTTAAATCGGGATTTCTATTTTTTATTTTATTTTATTTTTGTATTGTTTTATAGAGATAAAATATTAATAGTTTTTTTTTTGTTTGTTTGTATATATTATGCGAAATAGAAATCCTTATGAGAATTTCAATTCCTAAATAAATATTTCAAATGTCTATAAAAAATCAAGGATATTATGTACGCATTCATGTAATTTAATACAAAAAATATAAGTATAGCTATTCGGATGTGTAACACATTATTTGCATGTACATAATGTACATATATATATATATATACATAAACGTATATATGAAATGATAGATAGTAAGAAAAGATTTTATTGTATGCGAACCTTTAAACTTATCTATATACCAACACATTTTTTTTACGATTGATGACGGTAAATAAATTTTAACTTGAGGCGGTTTTTAATGTTAACTTCATATACATATTATATAACATAATTTTTTGTACACGAGAAGGATCTACATATTATTATACATAATAGTAGAAGGCTTAGCATATTAAATGAATGTGTGTATTATGTAAAAATGTTAGTGTATTACTTAAATTTTATTTATTATTTTTTTATTATATTAAATAAATTTTTATTTTTTATTTCATGTGAAGGTAATGTACGCATTTCTAAAGTTAAAAATTTTCTGGAATTAATCATTTATTTTTCTCTTCGCGAAAATTTTTCGGGAAATAAAGAAGTGTATAAGAAGCGTCAAAATGTTGAAAAAAATTGATTTGATGAAATGTAAGCAAAAAGGCTTTTTTTACCATTTTATTCGTTCCCATTGAAGAAAATTAGTAATTAAACAATTTTTCCCAATAAAAGTTTGTACGGACTTTAAAACTATTCCTTATTGTATAGGTGTATTGCGAAGGAATGGGAAGGAAATGGGGTAGTACGCGATTATAGCTGATGGGTACGAGTTACTTCAGCCTCTAGCCTCTGCTACCCAACGCCAAAACTCACCTTCACGAGGTCCTCCCTGTTAAGCTGAGCAACCCTTACGAAAGAACTGGTACCCAACCCAGTTGGTGTAGTATGGGTCAGTGAACAAACGAGTGCGGCGATTTAAATCCAGAAGCGTCTGACCCAGAATGGGCGGCTCCCTGGTCTGCGTCTGATCCCAGAGGGACGGCAGTTAATGTACCTGGTAGTAGGTATAAAATACTGGACATAGGGTTGACAACTCTATTCCATATTTCTTTAGTCATGGAACCTCAAACCTGGCCTCGGATACACGATCGATCAACTAGGCAACGATCACGGCAATGTATTAAGGACTCTGATTTGAATATCGGCTCATGGAATATTAGAACGATGCTACTCCCGGGAAAAATGGCAGAAGTAGTTGATGAAATTATGAATTATAACTTTGAAATTGTAGCGCTTCAGGAGTTAAGATGGAAAGGACAAGGTGAATTACGCAAAAGAGATTATTCTATTTTTTACAGTGGCAATACCAAACCTGGCTTGAACGGAACCGGTTTCTACGTAAGCAAGAAAATACGTAACAGTGTGTTATATTTTGAACCTATAAATGATAGAGTCTGTGTCTTGAAGTTAAGGGGGAAGTTTCAAAACATTACGCTATTATCAGTGTATTCTCCTACAGAAACTACCGAAGACGAACTAAAAGAAGCTTTTTATGATGATATATTTAGAGTATGTAATAAAATATCCAGACACGATCTAATAATAATAATGGGAGATTTCAACGCCAAAATAGGCAAAGAAAATTTTATTAAAAATGTAGCGGGACTACAATCACTCCATTCTAAAACTAGTGAAAATGGAACACGTCTGGTTAACTTCGCCTCAGAGAATAACTTGTGGATAAGTAGCGTTTCATTTCAACATAAGAGAATACATAAGCAAACGTGGAAGATACCAGGTGAAAGAGGCGCAAATCAAATTGATCACGTTCTGGTAGACAAAAGACATGCAACCTCGATTTTAGACGTCAAAACATGCAGAGGAGCTAATTGTGATTCAGATCACTATATGATTAAAATAAAAATTAGACAACGTTTATCTACAATAAACTCTAATAAAAACATATTTAAAAGAATAAAATGGGACACAGAAAAGATAGTTGCCAATGAAGATTTAAAATTAGTTTATCAACAAAATCTATCGCACAGAATTGACAACGTTTATATAAACAATAATCCATCACAAAACTGGGCTAACATTTGTGAAGCTATCAAAGACGCTGCTAAAGAGGTTATTGGCTCTGAACCTCGAAACAACAATAACTGGTATGACTCTGAATGTAAACGAATCAACGAAGTAAAAAATGAAGCATGGAAGAAACAGTTATCATGTAACACAAGAAGTAATCGGTTAGATTACGAAAATAAAAGAAGGGAAGCGAAAAAGATAATGAAGAGAAAGAAAAAGGAACATCTAAGAAATAAAATTTTAGCTTTAGAAGAAAATTCCAAGCGACATGCTAGAAGATTTTATCGGGGAGTAAAATATCAAACTACCGCTTTTCAACCAAGACTGAATATCTGTAAAAATAAAGAAGGAGAAATATTAAAGGAAGAAGACAAAATATTAGAAAGATGGTATGAACATTTCCAGGAAACTTTGAATAAACCTGATACGGGAATACACAGTATGCCACTTTTGCAAACAGTAGAAAACACCATAAACCAACCAACAATGGAAGAAACTCAAATTGCAATTGAAAAGCTAAAAAATGGAAAGGCTAGCGGTGAAGATTCCATTATAGCGGAATTAATTAAATACGGAGGCAATAACTTACATTACAAGATTCATGATTTAATTATTAGCATATGGAATACTGAGATTATTCCTGAATCTTGGCTAAATAGTATAATTTTCCCGGTGCATAAAAAAGGAGACAAGAAAATTTGTAGCAACTATAGAGGCATATCCTTACTTAATGTATCCTACAAAATATTTACCAATATATTATATGACAGGATAAACGAAATAGCGGAAAAGGTTATAGGTGAATATCAATGTGGATTCAGAAGAGGTAAATCTACAATAGACCAATGTTTTGCATTAAGTCAAATCTTTGAAAAATCACAAGAGTATTCAAGAGATATTCACTGCCTATTCATAGACTTTGAACAGGCGTTTGACCGAATCAATAGGAAAAAAAGTATTTGGAGTAATGCAAAGGCTAGGAGTACCAGAAAAACTTATAAGACTCGCATGCGCTACGTTACGAAATACAAAAGCGAAAGTACTTGTACAAGGAAAACTTACCAACTCGTTCAACATTGATTCTGGTGTAAAACAGGGAGATGCATTATCTGCTTTGATATTTAATATGATGCTACATTATGCAATTAATGAAATTGATCCTGGAGCTACTATCTTCATTAAATCGTATCAGATATGTGCGTATGCGGATGATATTGTTATACTCTCGCGTAATGCTAATGTTTTGAAAGAAATTTTTACCAAACTCGCTGAAGCTACTGCAGGTGTTGGGCTACATATAAATGAAAAAAAGACTAAATACTTCATAAAAAGCAGAACGCCCAGAATAACACATAATCTTAGTATTGGAACTTACACTTTTGAAAGCGTTACTCAATTCAAATATTTGGGAGTAGTTTTCTCGAATTCAGAGGATTCATCAATCGCAATTAAAGAGCGAATTAGTGCTGCTAATAAGAGTTACTTCGCCCATGCAAAACTTTTGAAGTCCAAACTTTTAACGAGGTCTACGAAATTCAAATTATATAAAACACTTATAAGACCTATTCTTACTTACGGATGCGAAGTATGGAACCTAAAGGTTGCAGACTGCAAAATGCTATCAATTTTTGAAAGGAAAATACTAAGAAGATTATACGGACCAGTGAGAATGAATGGCAATATTTATAGAGCAAGATATAATCATGAACTTGAAGCATTAATACGAAATCGAACCATTATTCGATTTATAAAATCCAAACGAATAAGTTGGCTGGGCCACATGGTTCGTATGTCAGGCGAAACAACACTAAAAAGAATTTTCATGCATCGCGAGCAGGGGACGAGAGCGAGAGGAAGACCCAAAAGTAGATGGCTGGACATGGTTGAAGCGGATCTAAGTACCATGAATATTAGAAATTATAGCACGTTGGCTCAAGATCGAAGTGAATGGAAGAGAATAGCTGAGGAAGCTTTGGCTCACAGAGGGCTGTAATGCTAAGAAAGAAAAAATTGCGAAGGAATAGGTTAATAATGTTGACTAGCTCTTAAATGACATTTCAAATTCTATGGCGAGATTGAAATATCTTACCATTGAATTTGTGAACGTTTTCATCAGCCTATGAAAATTAGAATTGAAATTTCTTAATGTGAGTCTCTGTTAATACAAATTTTAAGCAGTAAGATGAGAAAATATTTTGACAACATTTACATGAAACTACTTCTAATAAATTTTTAAATATTCTGTCACAATAAATTTCTATATTGACAACAAAAGGCACCAAAAAATATTTGTATTTATACATTCAAACAAACTTGATGTTAAATTTTATTAAAATTAAATATTAAATGGAAATTCAAAACAAAAAACAACATTGGATTGAAATTTATGCTTGTCTACACTTATTAACAGACCGGCGAATAAAATATTCGTATAAAATGTCGAAAATTTTTTTCACTAGAACAAATTATTTCGAAAAAGTGTTAATGTATAAGTAAAACGTTAATGTAAAAAATTTTATTAATTTTAGTCTTTTTTTTCGTAATGTTTTATTTTTTAATTAAAACCTATTTATTTATTTACATAAAATATTTTATTAAAGTTGAGAAGTAAAATTGAATATGTTTTATACGTCACGCATACATTTTATGGGCATATTCGGATATAATTTGAGGCGAAGTGACTTTGAAATTAATGGGAAGAAATTTGATCCTTAAACTTTTCTTTTTATTTTGTATTTATTTATGTTACTTCAAATAAAATAATAAAATTTTTATTGTATAACAATGTTTATATGAATATTTTTACATCTTTATTTGATTTTCGATATTCGTATAAGACAAGTATAATAAATTATTTTACCTTATTTATATCCAAGGTCGGATTAACTCTTGTAAGTGCCGAAAATTAGGTAATATAATTTTCAGATTCTTTTACGAATATTTTAAATTTATCATGCTCTCTATAACTACAGGACATAATTTTTTAACATATTATAGAAAGATATATTTTTCATATATATATTCTTACAACGTATCGAATTCTGGGTTAAATTGTTGCTATGTCGGTCAATCTCTGTGTATCTCAGCAAAAAACTGATTCGTCATAAGTATGGTAATATAAAATATATGTTTAATACCCGGACCCAGTTTGAAAACTATGATATCGATACTACGTTAACTAATAATTAATTTTGTTTTGGCTAGAAAAGAATTGAAGTTAAGTTTAAGTCAATAATATTTCGGATGGATGTTCAGTCACAAACTAATATTAATTATTGTAAAAAACAAAATATGTGATAATTGACTCTTCACCCTCCAGATTAAATATTCATTTGAATAATCAAATACTTGAACAAGTTTCAGAATATTAATACATCAGCTAGTGGATCGGCGAACGACTGAAATGGAATGTTCACACGTATAATGCACGTAAAAGGCTTTTCGTGGCGGGAATGTGTGAAAGAATTTTGTTTATAATTCCCAATTCTTTGAAAAACTCGTTGTTTTGCTCTCTATTTCATAGTCTTGTGATCTAAACAATAAAGCTGTGTGGTTCAAATTTTATTATTTTATTTATTAACATGCTACAGACTATACACGCCTATAAATAAACACATTCGACTACCACTGGCGGGAAGAAACTCAATTAATTATGTTGTAATGTATGATATTAATTATGTTGACAAGTCCGATACTGTGTTTGTCAATATTATTTAATAGGCGCATACAAACTAAAATACGCACAATATATTCACGTGTGTAAGTATAAGTACTTACATATGTGTATTTTGTATCAAATGTATTTTAATTAATTGGCATATACAATTATATAAGAAGGTTGGAATTGGTTAAAGAAATAAATTTTATTGACATTATAATAATAATAAAAGAAAATAATAATGAAAGGTTTGGTATACATATACCTTTTATTATGAAGGTATAACTGTTTTAGAACTTTGTTCTTACATATGTATGTATGTGTAAAATATAATGAAGATCTTAATATGAACGTAAATGGAAGGACGAAAGACAAATTTTTAATAGAAAAAGGAAATGGAAAAAAGGGGATAATTGGAATGAATAATAAATAGTATAAGTTATGTAGAACCAATAGTTCTAGCATATATTATATAGTTTAATTAACAACATTAATATTCATTTTAGATGTAAGAAGACTAAATAAAATCAAATCGGAAACCATATTCTGGACTCTACATATGAAGCTACATATGAGCTCATGTTAGTTGTTAACAATTGGGGCTGATTAAGCTTACTTATCATATTAAAACTAAAGTTAATATTGAATTTCATTTTATTATGCAATTGATTGTGATGTAGAGTATATTAGCTGATTGTAATTATCTCTCAATTTACGGACGTGTTGAAATGCTGTAAGTCTCACCATCTAAAATTTAAATTCAAATATACAATATTTACGATAAAGTTATAGAGTGAAATATTTAATTTAAAGGTGCAAGTTGTGATTTCAAAATGTAGAATTAATGGAATTTAAAATTGGTTTTACTTGCCCCCTATAGAAAAATATTTGAAATTTAAAATATTGGCCTCCTATTGGAAGATATTTGAAATTTGTAAATTTTATTGATGTCAAAATTTTAATGAAATTATTTGTTCTTTGGGTAGCTTTTACAATTTGAAAAATTAAATGAATAAAATTACAGTAGCTTTATTGTATTGTAAAAGCTAAAAAATGAAAAAAAGAACAAAATAATAAGAAGAAAAAAATTTATTGAAATGTCCTTGCGTATACTTTTTTTCCATGCATTCATTTAATTTTTTCTCTCTTTTTTTTTGAATTTATCATTGAAAGCAGACAAAAACAATTTATACCTATCATAATTTTCATTTATTGTGACAGTGACACGTTGTGTCAGACAAATTATATTAAAGAACATGGCAAAAAGAGAACAAAATGAAAATAATGAAAAATTAGAAAAAAAAACCATAATGTACGAATAACATTTTGAGTCGATAAAATAAAAATGATGGAACATGATGTAAATTTCCATATAACTTTCATATAAATTTTATTTTAGCATAATATTGAAATGGATGGAACTTGAAGATTAGATCAGAGAGTATATTATGAAACTGAATAATCGCAAATTAATGTTGTATAAATTTACTAAGTGTAACAGTATATAGGTATATAATTATGAAAAATTATTTCATTATGTGTGAAACTAAGGATAATCTATAAGTAAAGATAAATTTTCTTATATACTATCCTACCTTTGATATATACTATTAGATATAACTATTATAATTACAAATTTTTCTTTCTATTATCTTTTAATGAACATAGTGATTAATTGTGTCTTCAATTTGATATTTTAATGAAATGTTGAAATGTTGTCACCACAGAATTGGAAATTATGCAAAAATTAGCTTCATCAGTTCTATATTATCTGTTATACATACATATATAGACATCTATGTACAGATTTGCAATCATAGTTATCATAGTTATTGTTTGGTAGCCAATGACTTAAAAGTGTTGATGTGTGTATAAAGTTACGTTAGATGAGCTTGAAAAATTTTGACAAAATTTCAAAGGCAAATTTTAACTGTTATACGATTAATAAAATTTCATGCCAGAGGAACTGGTCAACTGAAACAATACGCTAAGTATGAAGTACGCTATAAATAAGAAAAGATTGGACTTGGAACGACAATAAAGTGATTGAGAGCAACTTTTTTTAATGTAGCCGTTGTTTAAGGAAATTTTCTAGTTTCAACTACAACATTCCAAGGTTAATTGTATATAATTAGTGAAAGGGTATAGCACTCCTAACTACACCGACCTATTAAAAGTAGTTATTGGGAGGTGCAATTGAGAAAAATATGCATATATGTATTCAAATTTATTTAGGTAGGTGAGAAATAGATGATATGTCAATTATTTAAAAAATAAATGTCAAATGTTTGACAAATGTCAAATGTATACTTGTGTTATGATACAATTTATTTTAAAACAAAAAAAAAAACAGATTTTTAAAATAACTAGACTATGTCAAGAATCTAGCTTTATTATTATTGCATATAGTTTTGAAAAATACGCAAATTGAAGAATTCCAAAGTTGAAGTTGTTCTAATTCATTTAAAAACACAAAATCTTTCCATATCTACTTAAAACTTCTTACTTTTTGTTTGATATTACGAGTACATTAAATATGTGACATAGATTTTCACACATTATGCTTTTATTTATTCTAAATTATAAGTGAATTTGCTACAAAATCATGTAAAACATAATGACGTTTTAGAATTTCAAAGATTTATTTTAAGACTTAACGTATTTTTCCCATTCATGTATAAATTCGCATAGCATTTAAGTATTTTCTTGGAATAATACCAGCTCTAAAGGTTATACACAGATGAAATATGAAATTAATGGAAATTTCAGAGATTTTGGATTTTTACAGTAATCTCTTATTACGTCAGCAGTTATGAAAAAAGTGTAGGTGCTTGTTTTACTTGAATGTGACTGAAATTTTGTAAAATATTTCTTAAAAAAGAAATTTTTTTTTTTACGTCTTAAATATTTTACAAAACCTTAAAAAAATTAAATGAGACAATTAAAGTAACTGTGGAATCTTGTAAAGGAGTTAAAATGTATTAAAGGTGTTTTAAGAGTGCAAAAATTTAAAGATCAAATATAATTTAGGGTTTAAAATTTTTAACAGCAAAATATTTCAATTACAATTTAATTACCAAGGATTGTAATTCAAGTTAATTTATATTAACTTCATAATTAGTCCAAAATTATTTCAGGCAGCCATGTGTCCATGTAAGATACGAAAATTCTAATTAATTAAAGGCTTTTCTGCTTCAAATCATAAAATTTTTGTGGAAATACTAAACTGGTAAAGCAAGGTGCAATAATAGAGAATTGTAATACAAGAAATTGTTTTAATTTGAATTCTTGAAAGCTCAATATAATTCACTCGAAGAATCCCATGAATGCTGATG